AATAAATGGTTAAAGCATTAGTGAAGAAGGACGTTATGGTGGAGAACCAGACATAAGAGACTGAGAAGTGCCAAATAATTTATTAAGACTATGTAGCATATTCAATATAATCTTCTCCTTCAGGCGGTGGAGAATGGATAAGTTTTCTTGAAGTGTTTGCTAGTGATTTCTTAGAGCATCTCCAATGCTCTAAGTGGGTTGTAGGTGAGAGAGTCTATTTTAAAATGGGATCAATATTGCAAAAAAGGAGGGTCCATTGGAGACCCCTCCAGTGCGGAGCAAGGCATACAAATACAAATGCAAAAGTAAAAAATGAAAAACAGAGAACAAAGTAAACGAGTGGTCCTCCATGCAATTAGCCCCATTACTTTCCATTTTAAGAGAGTGCAACCGAAGGTTCATAGATGGACATTGTGCTAGACCGCCTTCCACTTTTATATTTGCCACATTAGATTCACCCTATCTATTTTTTTGCATTAGAGAAGACAAACACATTCATCAAGTGCATTTGCCGAGGTGGAATAACAATTCACCTCAACAATGGAGATGCCTTTAGTGCCGCATATATCAACGGTTTTGAGGTGTATGGGACACTGCCACACACTTAGCTTCATTTTTTTAATTATAAAAAAATGGCCCATCAAAGTGTGGACTTCCAATGTTTGACCGGATATATACACTCATGGTACTTGATGAGATTAAATACTTTGATTTGATACGGAGTATAAAATTTAATGCCTCCCTCCCGAATTATTTTCCAAACAAGATTTTATACGTGGATTAAGAAAGTAAGAATTGCGTGATGTAGAACTGTATAGAGACGAGAGGAATGTGTATAAATGTGTAAAAAATGTCGTGAATAACAATTTCTTTGTCAAAAAAAGAGAAGAGGAGATAATTTTGATATGGACGAAAAAAGTAAGTTGAAAGATAAATAAAAGTAAGTTGAAAGATAATTCAGGGATGGATATAATATTAAGGAAAAATTGATTGTAATAATCCTAACTATTGGCGGTCCGCTCATAATAATCCCAACTATCGATTATTTCAGAATAATCCCAACTTTAGGGACCTTCCGCCAATAATGATCCGTCGTGACCAACTATAAATAAATTCCTATAGTTTCTAAAGAGATATAACACGTAATCCCTATAAATAATTCCAAATTTTAATTTTTACGTTTAATTTCTATTAAAAATTCACTTGTTAGAGCATGTAATATGCGGTCATGGATCATTATTGGTGGACGGTCCATATAGTTGAGACTATACAAAAATAATCAATAGTTGAGATTATTGTTAGCGGACCGGCAATAGTTGAGATTATTATTTTCAGTTTTTCCTAATATTAATTATATTGAGTAATACTTTGTAAGTATTTAACCAAAAAAATCAAATTTCAATATCACCAAATCTAAAACTCTTTCAATCTAATTCACTAAGATTAAAAAAAATCAAAGATAATCATTATTTCGTGTTGGTTTGTTATTGAGCGAACCGTTTTTATTCATGAACAATTTATATGATTGTGTAACGAGTAATCAATAGGAAGGGGTTTATGATTTGGATTTAACCATAACTTCCAATGGTTGTTCTTCAAATTTAATACAAAAACGTTTTCCGTTTTTTTTAATTTTTCTTAGATTGTTCTCGGCTATCACATCTATATGCGATACTCAATATATTTTTAATTTCTTGATAATTTTATTTTAGGAATAACCATTAATCGTGCAACACACAGGTGTACCACTACTGAATGTTAAAGGGATCTCGATTTCACAAAGCCGGATGTAAGTCAAGAAACGTCATAGATTTATCGGTGCTTACCTTCACCATGAGCCAACCCAGTAATATAATCATGATTAACTTATTAACCGTATTCAGATATCCTGAAGTCCAACTCTTGCTCACATCGTTAGCTTGAATTTAATGACAACATCAAACAAGATAAAAGAAATCTAATAAAATTTCCTTAATTTTGGTAATATGTGTCCATAAGGAGTATATCATGACAAGACAAACATTTTTCTAGGTCAATGTTTCTAGACCAAAGGACCCCTAATGCCCCGTGAATGCTATAAGCCAATCATCTATTTTTTTAAAGCTAGAAAAAGAAAACATCGAAAGGGAAAAAAGCAATAGGTGACCCAATCCCCAGAGCAACTAAGAAATACCACCCGAGAGAGCAAAAGAGCTTATTCTACACTGAAAAGATCCACACAAGATTGGGATCTGGTCCTCATTATATGCGATCACTGATGCTTTTTCTTGTATAGTTTAATTTGAGTGTTCAAAGTTGATGTAGGCAAACAGTTATCGCTCGTAACCAGCCTAACCTTATTACACACATCCTAGTTAGTGCCGGAATCCCAAAGATCTTCCATTGATGATATAGGATGCATCTTCTCACTATAAGTCAATCATCTAAAGAATGTATTTCGCTCTTCCATTTCTTCAACCATGAAAAGGCTTCATGGAAATGTATTCTATTTTAACATCATATATTTTCTTCTGATACATGTTCTACAAGAGCATGATCTACAAAAGCATGATCAATAAAGTGATAGTGAGTAGCGAAGTGAACTTCATCAAATCCAACAATGTGCCATGTCAGCTCATTTTTCTCACCATATTTTTTTCCTTTCAAACTTTATCAACCAAAGATTTACATGCATATATGATAAGATAGTAAGATCTTAAGGCCTAGTAAATAATGCAAAATTCACTTGCCTCTATCATCACTCAGTAAGTTGCATCATTTGGTTTGACCCCATTGCCCTCCATCTCATCCATGACTTCCACTACACTCGTCAATTTCCCATTCTTGATGAAGTCATCCATCAAGGATTTTCTTCAACATTCTCTCAGCACCCACCATAACGCCTATAAGCACATAGCCACCTAGAATGGTGATATAAGTAACAACATTTGGAACTATTTCCATTGCACACATTTCATCCAAAATTCCAATTGCACCACCAACATCGCCTTTCTTACACAAAGCCTTCAATAAGATATTACAAGTGCCTACATTGGGCACACTGTCTAAGTTTTATCTACAATTCTTAAACAAGATGTGCACAAGATCATACTTTTTGTTATTCACCAAAGCATTCAACAATGTACTAAAAGACTTCGTTGACCTTACTATTGCAAAATCTTTGATTTTCAAGAAAGGCTTAATGGTTTGTTTTGGTTTGCTTGCAATGACATAGTTTCACATAACAGTGACGAATAGATTCTCCAAACAACTGATGTTAGTTTGCCGTATTTAAGCCAAAAGGGTATCCATGGATTCAAAGGCACGAGGTCAACAAAGTTTGAGGATGATGTGGTGGTAGGTTTGGTAATTTTGGTAAAACCCGAGGTGGTATTTACTTTCACGATGGAAGATGTGGAGAGCCATATTTGGGTCATGTTGGCAAGATATAAGAGAAATCAGTCTTTTTTGGGTCAGGTTTTGAGGCCAGGATTGGATAGGTAGTGTGAATGTGTATGTATGATTGGAGAAGTTATCCGTTGGACTTCATGGAAGAAAGATGGTGGTAGCATGGGTATGATGCAATCTAGAATCACATCCGCATTTGGCACCTGTAGGCAGTGATGGACCGACAAAGTTTCACAAACTCAAAAGCATTATTGTGTTATTGTAGGGACTATATTTTATATTAATTAGTATTACATTATGTTAGGGACTCCACGACACTGGTTTTCTGGGTCATCCATTGCTTGAATCACTGCCGAATACCCTTAGCCTATTGCTATCTTGACCCCTCGATTCACAACCATTGAAACGGGAGCCAACACCGGGAATGTTGGCGACGATCTATTCACTAAAATGAAAAATCCCAGTCTGACTCTGATGATGCCCTCCTCCGAAAGCCCCACTTTTAATCGCATGATGACCAAAGTTCAGTCGAGGAGATTTGGATGGAGATTTATGTGGTTCATATTAGTGAAGCCAAAGAGAGAAAAATAACTTCATTAACAAAAAAGAAGCCAAAGAGTGAAACAACCAAAGAGTGAAGTCAAACATATGCAGATTTAATTACGACTATTAGCCCTAAGTAGGACTAAAAGTAGTCTTAAATGCAATAATAGGACTATAATTCATTTATTCCCAAAATAGGAGTCATATATGTTCCTCCTTCCAATTATACCCTTCCTATCATTTCTAATAGATTTATATTTAAATAAGAAAAACATAATTTTATTTACAATAACGATATAAAAATAATAAAAAGATTTATAAATTAATAAAAAAATGGGAAAAGTAAAATAAAATAAAAATAAAATAACAATAAAAAAATATAAAATAAAAATAAAAAACTAAAAAAATACTAAAAAATAAAATAAAATACCGAGAAATATATTAAAAAAACATGTAGGCCACTCCCACCGCATCCTCCACATTCCAGAACCACCAGCTCCGATCGCTGGAAAAAATGTCATCTTGCATAAAAAAATGTCACATTCCTATAAAAATGTCATGAAGATACATTTTTACTCTTTGAAAAAATCAAGTTTTTTTTCTTCCAAAATTGCCATCCTGATGACATTTTTTCAACTTGACATTCTTTTCCGGAAACCGGAGTTGACAATGCTGGAAGGTGGCTGAGGTGATGGTTGATACATGTATATTTTTATTTTCTATTATTATTATTATTTAAAAAATCTTATTAAAAATGATAAAGAAAAAGTAGAATAAGAAGAGTTAGTCTTATTTTGATTGTAATTTTGTTTTAATTTTGTTTTAATTTGGTGACCCATTTTTTCGGCTTATCATGCTTATCAGCCAGTTTTTCACCAAACACGTAACTTTTGATTTCACCCGCTGAATTATGTAATAAGCAGAAAAAGTAAGGTTGAAGTTACTTTTCTGACTGTATTGGCGGAAGTTACTGCATAGAATCATTTTAGTTATTTTTCATATAATTTTTTATTTTATTTATTAATAACAAATATGTTTAAATATAATTTTTTATGAATAGCGGAATCCGCGGATAAAACAACTTTGGTCCGACCTTCATAAATTTCACCCATTTTTAACCTCAACCTATGCAAAGGGACACATCCCCTACGACCTGCGTACGGGTTACCAAACGAAGCAAACGAACAGCCACAGAAAAACAAAAGAGAGAGGGAGAGCGCGCGTCGCCGGAGGAAGAGGTTCACGCCTGTCAGCCTGTGTGTCACTCCAGGGCTGCCAGGCCGTTTCCTCTCCGGGGAAGAGGAAACGCCGGACTGGTTTACGCCGGAGCTAAATCATCGTTGCCGGACCAAACTGTTGCCGCGGAACGTCGCCGCCAAGCTGCTGCTGCTGCTGCTGTCGGTAGGAAGTCCGCCTGGATCGGCGAATCTCGCCATTGATTATCATTGTCCGTCCGTCGTCGTTCGTTCACGCTGGTGGTTGAACCGTTGAAGAAAGAAGCAGGCTACAGTAACCGTACGCAGCTTCTTACTCCGTAATAGGTTAGTTATTGGGCTGAGTTCTTGATTTTAAAATGTTGGGCTGATTAGTTTATATCTAGGCCGAATAATAAAAATAATAGTTCGCTTGGGCTGGTATTAGACTATTAGTATGTTTCTGGACTGGTTTATTCGTTTGAGAAGCAGCTTGGATAATAATTTAATAATAATAATAGTGATTAAAATAACGTAATTGACTAAAATAAATGGGTTATAGGAATGCTAATATTGACTAATAACAAGTACTCCGTAATATTATTCACCTTCAAATCGTCACTAATAGTCAATTGCCATTTTATTAAATTGAATATTATACTTAGAACTGTTATTAATTTAAAATATTAAATTTGGACAGTTTAATCTGGACTTTTGTATAAGGATTATAATAATATGGGGTGATTAATAAAATGATTAAATATAAGTGGGCTAGTTAAATGAATGAATTAGATTGACTAAATTATGATAGAAGAATTTGACAAAATAAATTAAAATAAATTAGTTATAAACAGAATTAAATAAAATGGACTGATTGGACCGGCTTAATAAAATGAATTAGATTAATGGAAATAGATAATAACTATGGATAAATAACAAAACAGGTATAATTTGATAATTATTGAATTATAATAAAATTAAAAGTAAAATGGATTAAAATAATAAAATAGGCTATTTGATATGATTAAATAAACTATAGTAGATATTTTATAACTTTAATAAATAAAGTGCATGATTATTATATATGAACTAATTGAATTAAAATTTGACTATTATTCATATAGAATGAATATATCAATAAAAATTGATTGAATGAATGAATTATGTTGCTTTAATTGTATAAGTTCATGAGTAAATTAACATTCAAAAATGCGCCAATTAAGTATAAAATAAATTATTATGGACTATTATAGAGATCAATTATTATTGAAGTAATAAAATCATAAGAGGGGGAATTTAGAGACAAAGGGTAGAAAAATTCAACTATAGCTTGGATAAGGTATTGATTTGTGAATTTTAATAGAAGCCGATTTGAGTGAGAAGCAAATCAGAAGATTTTACTAGGAGTACTTGGAGCTTGAGGTAGTCCGATGGCAACTAAAATGCTTTTTAGACGCGTGTTGCACGATTGGTCAAATGCCCAATAGTATATATTAAGAATAGATTTTTTCCTTATAAAAAAAAGAATAGATTTTTCTAGGGAGAACTATCAAATAAGCTTTCGAACTTACTTAAAAAGTGCAAATAAGCCCTTTTACATGAGGCTATGTCCGGCAGTTGTCATTTGGGGCGGTTCCCGATGAAATTTTTTGAGCATCTTATTCATTAAGTCTAGTTTACGCATAATAAATTTCTGCTAAATATTTAATCGGGAAGGCACTCAAATGAATTTTGAAGATAACTGCGCAGTTAAACAGTTTAGTATATTTCAGAAAATCATTTGACTGGCTTCTCGGTTGAAGTTTTAGCTTAAATTTGGTATGGGTAAACTAGACTTAACGAAGAAGATGCTCACAAAATTTCATCAAAAAACTTCACCGGAAGCCGCCCCAAATGGCGACGGCCGGACAGAGCCTCCTATAAAAGGGCTTATTTGCACTTTTTATGTAAGTTCGAGAGCTTATTTGATAGTTTTCCCATTTTTCTAATATTTGGTCAGGATGCAGTAAACTATCCAAAGAACATATAGAGCCCGTTTGGTAGCATGAAAATCGGCTGTTTTGGCTGATTCTGCTGAAATTTATGAAGTTCTGACTGAAGTGGCTGCATTGGCTGATTCTGCTGATACAAGAAAAAAATATTTTTAAAATATATTATATTAATAAAATAAAGAAAAAATTATATGTAAAAATAGCTAAAATGATCATCTACAGTAACTTCAGCCAATACAGCCAGAAAAGTAACTCCAACCTTACTTTTTCGGCTTATTTCACAATTCAGCGCGCAAAAGTAAAATTTACGTGTTTGGTAAAAAAGTTGGCTGATAAGCCTGATAAGACGAAAATGAGGGTTGCCAAACGGCCTCATAATGTGATAGCACAAAATGCTATTTGGTTCTGCACTCTAGATCAATCCATCTCGCGAAAAATTGTAATCAATACGGGTATCCAAAAGTTTGCTTGAACTGGAATTCAAACAACATCATATCTACAAAAGCAATACAAATCCCTATTATAGACAGAATTTAAAGTAGTCCAAGATATATAATTAAAATGTCAGTAAGACTGAGAGATAGCTAATGCAGATTTATGCATATATATGTGATTAAAGCAGCCACACTGTTAAAATGGTGGAAATGAAGGGCCGCATGTCTTTTGACCTCCACAAATATGAAACATCAAAAGAGTAGTCAGTTTATTTTCGCCAAATAGTTTGCAAACAATACAACAAGCGGTCAAAATACAAAATACGTCTCTCTCAACTAAAGGACTTCCCTTCTGTTTTTTTCAAATGTTAGTTGGCCGAGACCTAGGTATATTATTGTATTACAATAAATTTAAGGGAGAACTATCAAATAAGCCCTCGAACTTTCATAAAAAGTGCAAATAAGTCCTTTTACGGGAGGCTTTGTCCGGATGTTGCCATTTGGGGCGGTTTCTAGTGAAATTTTTTGATGATTTTTTTTAGCATCTTGTTCAATAAGTCTAGTTTATTCATACCAAATTTCAGCTAAAAAATCAATCAAGAAGGCAGTCAAATGATTTTCTGAAATATACTGCACTGTCTAACTGCGCAGTTATCTTCAAAAATTCATTTGACTGCATTTCCGATTGAATGTTTAGCTGAAATTTGGTATGAGTAAACTAGACTTAATGAAGAATATGCTAAAAAAATTTCATAAAAAAATTCCACCGTAAACAGCCCAAAATGGCGACGGCCGGACAAAACCTCCTATAAAAGGGCTTATTTGCACTTTTTATGAAAGTTCGAGGGCTTATTTGATAGTTATCCCTAAATTTAATAATAACTACATATATAAGTGTAAAGCATTTATCTATAAATCTATACCTTATTATTCATTTACTCAAAGAACTCATTTACATGTGCAAAAAAGTAAATTCATTATAATGTTACAATAATTAGTTAATTACTATTGTGAATGTTTTAATATTTAGAAAGACTTTATTTAGATGGAATTGTGATTTGTGAGTTGAGTTGAATTGTATGTCTAGACTGAATCGACTGATGGAAGCACATTGTAAAACTCTCTCCCTACTATTAAACTTAGTCAATTTGACTTTCTTGGTCAATAATAATAAAGTTTTGGACAATGACTTTAACAAAGAATATTATCATATACTTTTCATTTTTTAAATGATTTTGTATTAAAAAATATCGTTGGTCAAACTTGACTATGATTGATCAAGAGAAGTCAATAGTGACAAAGTTTTAACTTTTATGAGATGGAGGGAGCATGTATTTATTCTTCTTTCAAAACATTGTCCGCTCCAGTTTTACTGGACTATTCCTAATTATAACATCTTACATAATTTTTCACCACATATTAGATTCATTATTCTTTAATACATCTACACATTTGAGTTATATACAAAAATCTTTCACTACTAATAATGTTAACAAATAATAAAATATAATTGATTTTAGTTTTTGAAGGTTTGCTGGTCCGTTAGCAGTGATGTTGCGTCCCCGGATGTACCGTCACTGCCTAGACCTGCCAGCTGCGACTATGACTCTAAACTGCATCAGGTCGGCGGCGACTATTTATACTGCTGCTGCTGAACATGAAGATGATCCCTTCAAGGCACACCCGTGCTACCACCACCTTTCTTCCATAAAGTCCAAGGGAGAACTTCTCCAATCATACACAGTCACGCCACCTATCCAACCCTGGCCTCGGAACCTTACCCATAAACGACTCATTTCTCTTATATCTTGCCAACATGACCCAAACATGGCTCTCCACAATCCACATCTTCCATCATGCAGGTAAATACCACCCTGGCTTTTCCCATAATTACGAAACCTACCACCACATCATCCTCAAACTTTGTCGAGCTCGTGCCTTTGAATCAGTGGATACCCTTTTGGCTGAATTACGGAAAACTAACATCAGTTGTTCGGAGAATTTGTTTGTCACCGTTATTCGAAACTATGGCATTGCAAGCAAACCAAAACAGGCCATTAAGTCTTTCTTGAAAATCAAAGATTTCGGAATAGTTAGGTCAGTGAAGTCTTTTAATACATTGTTAAATGCTTTGGTTAATAACAAAAAGTATGATCTTGTGCACATGTTGTTTAAGAATTGTAGAAAGAAGTTTGGCATTGTGCCCAATGTAGTCACTTGTAATATCTTATTGAAGGCTCTGTGTAAGAAAGGTGATGTTGGTGGTGCAATTAGAATTTTGGATGAAATGCCTGCAGTGGGAATAGTTCCAAATGTTGTTACTTATACCACCATTTTTGGTGGCTATGTGCTTATAGGCGATATGGTTGGTGCTGAGAGAATGTTGAAGGAGACCCTTGATAAAGGATGTCTGCCTGATGCAACAACGTATACCATTTTGATGGATGGCTTCGTCAAGAAAGGGAAACTGATGAATGCAGTGAAGGTGATGGATGAGATGGAGGACAATGGGGTCAAACCAAATGATGTAACTTATGGAGTGATGGTAGAGGCTTTGTGCGCTGGGAAGAGACCACGTGAAGCAGTCACCTTGCTTAATGATATGCTTGATAACAAATATCCTCCTAGTCGATCAATTTGTTGTAGGGTCATTGATGCTATGTGCGAAGCAGGAAAGGTCCAAGAGGCATGTGATCTGTGGAAGAAATTGTTGATAAAGAATTGCACCCCTGATAATGCAATATCTAGCACACTCATAAATCATCTGTGTAAGGAGGGACAAATTTGGGAAGCAAAGAAATTGTTTGATCAGCTTGAGGGAGGTTCAGCTCCCAATGTTTTGATGTATAACACATTAATTGCAGGAATGAGTGAGAACGGAGAGATATTTGAAGCTGGGAGGCTGTGGGATGACATGGTTGATAAGGGGTGCATACCTAATGCTTTTACTTATAATATGCTGATTAAGGGATTTTGTAAAGTCGGTAATCCCACAGAAGGAATTAGAGTTCTCCAGGAGATAATAGATAATAATTGTTCCCCAAACAAATTCACTTTTTTTGCATTAGTCCAAGAGCTTTGTGGCTCAGGATCTGAAACGTATGGTGTTTTGGATAAGATATTGTTGGAGATTGCTGCTTAGGGAATGCTTTTATTAGTTTTCATACGTAATGCAGAAGATAGTGGCATCTCTATGACTGAGAAGCAGAGGACTCCATTTCAAATGGATCTAAGTGCTTTTGGTGCCAATATATCATACTGCAAGATTTGCTATCTCTTCTTGGGGGTTGGTTATTAACAGACATGGCTTCCTCAAGTTACTCATTGTAAATAACTTTCTGTGATTTATGGCCCGTTTGGTATGCGTGGGTAACATCCATTTCAGGTAAATAAGTAAGCCTGCAACTCTATAAGTTCCATTTATTCTGTTGATATGCAGAGTAAGCCAGATGATTATACCACTACCAAAATCGAAGTGAACCTATATCCCATGTCACTAATTATTTCACCACCCTTTTTTATTTCCTGACCTTGTTTTTCTTAATTATTTTAAAACTTACAAGGTGAGAAGCTGATTAAAATGGAAGAGGAAAAGGGAATTGTTGTGTGCTTTATGATAGGCCACACGTAATACTTTAATGGGGAGAACTATCAAATAAGCCCTCGAACTTTCATAAAAAGTGCAAATAAGCCCTTTTATAGGAGACTTTATCCGGCGGTCTTCATTTGGGGCGGTTTCCGGTGGAATTTTTTGATGAATTTTTTTAGCATCTTCTTCATTAAGTCTAGTTTACCCATACCAAATGTCAGCTAAAAATACAATTGAGAAGGCAGTCAAATGATTTTCTGAAATATATTGCGTTGCCTAACTGCGCAGTTATCTTCAAAAATTCAACACTGACCATGGGTAAGAATGACTTGATTTTTTGCTTCCGGTAAAATATATACCACTTCTGTAGGTGCTATCAAGATGAACTAGAGTTGTTAACCCTTTCAAATTTCTATCTGTAGTTTCTGGCATACATATATAATGTAGTGACCAATTTCAGGCAAATTCCACATAAGTATGCCAATGAAGATGTATCACTTGGCGCATGGCTGATTGGTCTTGAGTTTGAGCACATTGATTATTGAAATATGTGTTGTGGAACTCTGCCAGGTTTATCATTTTTTCATCTTCTCTTCCTCCAATACAACATTTTGCAGTTCAGGTGTAGAAAAGAAAAGAAAAAAACCTCACTGTCAAAATTACTCCACTGCATTCGATTTTGGGGGGCAAGAAAAGAAATAGAAAAATAATTTATCAGCCCAAAACTTTGTAGCCCTTATGCGGATTTTGTATATTTGTAATAGTCTCAGCTTACGGGTAGGGCCATGTTGAAGATCAAAGAATAATTCACAAGTTAGTTGAACTGGAAATTGAGTAGGAATGAGTATTGACTTGGGTTGTCAAATTTGAATCATTCCTCTTGGAGGAATTGTTCTTACTCGAAGATTGACTAAAGAATACTACCTACATTGCGGGATGAACTTACAAATGGACATTACATTATATTGCTAAAATGTGCGATCATCCATATGATGAGAAATTGAGAATGGAAAAGACAAAGTAGTGGATGAGAATAGATGTAGCTGCTAATTACGTATAGTATGTATGCATGTCCTGGACCATGAATCATCATCAGGAATCTGCAGATCGGATGGTCGGGTTGGGAAGTTGGTCATCAAACACGGCGTAGTCAATGGGGAAGTCCTCATCAATGAAGGAGGTGTGGTGAGGGATCAGCGAGTCGTAGTAGTAGTCTTCGTTATTAGTCGCCGCTGCTGCCACCGTACTGCTACAACACATGAAGCTTTCATCTGCTGCTGGCGGGGCATTTCCAAGAGCATCCAAGAAGGCCAGATCATCACCGTCCCCGAGTGTGGTGGTGAAACAAGCCGCTGCTGCGGCCGCCTGACCATCTCCCTGCCGCTGCAAGGGTGTGTGAACCGGAGGCGGAGGCGGCGGCCACCTATCAAAGCTGGCACCGCAGCAGGTGCAAGGTGCGGTCTGTAGCCCTAAATGGTCTGGCGGCTCGAATGGGAACCACACTTCTGGATCCTGCAGCATCGGGATTGAGGTCCATTCCCACTTGGGCTCACCCGAACATGACTCTTCTTCATCATCACATCTCGACTTCATCATTGCAGCTTCATCACCTGCTGCCTCCTCCTCCTCCTCCTTAAGGGCGGCGGCGGTAGTGGTAGAAGAGCGGGATTTGGGGGTGGAATTGACTCTGGCAAATCTCTTCCGCCTGCTGCTCCAGAAATTCTTGACGTCGTTGTCGGTTCTCCCGGGCAAGTAGGTGGCTATTTTGGCCCATTTGTTCCCGAACTGTCCCTGAAGGTCAATGACGATCCTCTCCTCCTCGGTGGAGAACTTGAGGCCGGTTTTCAAGTTGGGGCGGAGTTTGTTGACCCAGCGGAGGCGGCAGGACTTGCCGGTGCGTTGGAGGAGGCCTTTGGATCGAATGGAGCTCCAGTGCCTGGGGCCGTACTGGCTGACGTGCTGGACAAGCACCTCATCTTCCTCCGCTTTCCATGGCCCTTTCTTTATCTCCGACAACTCACTCCCTCCTTCCATTACTTCTCCACTCATCATGCATGCAATATAGTACCTGCTCCCTACGTACTGTATATATACAGTATAATATATCCCGACCGGCCACCATCTTTTCAAAAAATAAAAGGAGAATGCTGCGGCGGCTCGCTCCAACTTCCTTGTTTTTCTCCGAATTAAATGGGTGCATGTCCCACTAACCTCCTATTATTCAGCCCACATTCCCCATTACATTTTGTCCCCACCCGCCAGCTAAATCGAATGAGATTATTATGGAGTAGTTATCCTCTTTTTTTTGATAATCCTAAAGTCTATGAACTACATTCCAAAGCCCTTAGACAGTTAAATCCGGATCTGATCACAGTCAGCCTCGTCAGTACTGACTCCAAAAGACGAATCCAGCAGGATTTATATCACCTTTCAGGCTGCTCCTCCCACCACACGAACCCGCTACCTTCATTACCATCCTCTCCTTTCTCAACCGCTGAGCAACTCCGTGAAGGTAGTAAGAATCACTGGGAGCAAGACCTCCCTCATCTCCCCTTGGTGGGAATTGAACCCAAGACCTCCCACAAAGGAGAGACTTGGGGGTGGATGGTCATTCATCGGGCTACACCCACTTTCCCGAGTAGTTATCCTCTTTATGATCCGAAGGAGATCTTTAAAAATAAGAGGAACTCATTAATATAATATCTACACTCAAACAAGTGTAGTAAAGTTGAAAGCGGCATACGGAGTACTAAATTTCTGCAACAATCAATCAGCCATGCATTACATGTACAAATGAAAATATTCCAAAACTTTAAAACCAGAGACCAAAAGTGAAAACGATCTAACATTCATGGGACAAAACGACTATTTTCATATCATAAATAACTAATTTCACTTCTAGATTAGTGAACAACAATTAAACTGGTCAAAGAACTGATGTTGAAGCTCACTAGCTCAGCAAGGTAATGGTATATGCAAGACCATTTGTAAAAAAATATGATAGTAAGTTCCTAAATAAAAAACGAGGAAACTGTCAAATGAGTTGTATGCAATCAAGTAAAAAGTACATCATATTGTAATCGAGATTCACAAGTGCATAAACTCGGGAAAATAGTGCTGATTTGGTACACATTTGAATTTTGATGTTAACATGTCTCACTTTATCACCCAATTAGTAATTCTTTGTCTTTTTTTAAATGATTAGTACACATTAGAATTTAAACGTTAATGTCTCACTAATCACTTAATTAAGAGATTAGTGATATGACAAAAGTAAAACCACACATCCACTTATTGCACATTATAAACATACAAATCACTTTCCAACTATCACTCCAGGTAAACCACGTCACCGCACCCACCCCCAAGACGCACTGACCAACTCCATTTTTAAAAACACATAAACGATTACTAATTTGGGGTTAGATATAAATCGGGATAAAGATGATGCCGACTTAAATTCCACCATTTACCACAAATGGTATTACTAATTACCATATCAAGATTTTTAGAGTTAAATTGAATTTGTACTTGCTTAACACTACTTTCCCGAGTTTATGTACTTCTGAATCTCAGTTGCAATATAATTTTCTCTTTACTCCATTGCATACAGTGGCGGATCTAACCTTTACATTTTGGGTGTTCGAAACTAAAGTAAAGTTAAAAGTATCACAATAATCATATCTAATGCTATAATTCAACAATTGTATCTTTATTAATAAAAAAACTACTACATTAAAAAGTAAAACATACTCCATAATATATTAATAAAGTATTAGAGATTTACTACATAAACTGATTTTAACAATAATACTCCTACTCATTAACAATAACACAAATTAAATCAGCATAAACTATACTATATAAATATAAATACTAAACCAATTTAACAATTAATTCAATTTAATAGTGATCTAATTTCTAATTTTCTACCTAATGGTATAGTGGGTTATTGAATTTCTTTACCATTGAGATAAAGTAGTGGCAGGCCCTTGGCCCTTGGGAGCATTTCAACTTTTCATCTTTATCCATATGCCAATATGCCCATACATCACTAGTCGGTACATCATCATTCATCATCATCATACGCATATGAATACAGAGTATATGATTCCTATTTCCTTCTCTTTTCAAAATCAAAACTCAAAAATAAAAAATACTTGAAGAAAGCAGTTGCAATCAACGACCTGCAGACTGCAGAAAATTTTAGTTTGGGGAAGATCTATTTTGGAATACGCATGTTTGAACTGCTGAATCTCCATCAAAACGATGACTTTTCATTTTTTTGTAAAACGACTCAAAACGACGTCATTTTGATAAAACAAAATTGAAAATTTTGGGTGTTCCAAGTGCATACCCTTGAACATCATACCGTCCCCCACTGATTGCATACAACTTAATGTACTCATTTGACACTTTCTTTAATAAAAACTAAGCAGACTACATATTTTTTTTCCTTTTCCCAGCCAAATAAACATATTAACATAATCAATAAAAAAACTTTCCTCAATATTTATGTTTGTAAAAAGTCTTGTCATAATTATTAATGCAACCTTACGTTTTCAAAAATCAATTAGTTACCCCCTTGAGTTTGGATCATTCTCATTCTTTGCCCCTCACATTAATATTTGTTAAATTTAAATTTAATATAATTCTTAAATTCAATGAAAAATGTCTATAAAATTAATTTTAAATGTAAAACACAAATTATTATCATAGTTATAAGTCGTTGTTGTTGATCATTATTTTTCTACTTAGCTACTCGATTGTGGAATAAATATTATTGAGAGTAATTAAGTGAAAGTACTCACGAGTAAGATATAAAAATATCATAAATTTTTAATATTTTTATTTTAAAAAAATAAATATCATTCATATAAAACTAATAAACTTTTTACATTCAAAAAAAGTTTTGTGAAGATAAAATCATCACAAATTAGTAACAGAGTTAATAACAAATTTAAATAAATTAAAATCTATGGTATTTTAGGTCTTAAATTGATAGCTTTGAATTATTAAGATCATTGAATAATTAGAACAATCAAAATCATAACACATTTTATCTTTTAGGTCCCTTATTGATACTAAACCTATCTTTTAGGTCATGGAATGCTAAAAAATCTTGGTATTTCTTCTACGTTACAAACGAAAGAAATGCCATTGCGATTAATTCAACCGGATGAATTACAAATAAGACTTTTATATTTATAATGAAGAAGTACCTAAAATTTTGATCACATTTTAGAAACAATTATTTTTATGTATCCCATTAATATTATTCGTGACTCTTCCCCTTAACTACTCTCACTAATACTTACTCCACAATGACATATAATTATGATAATAATTTTCATTATATTTTAAAAATTAATTTTATGTGCAACTTTCATTGAATTTAATAGGTATATTAACGTGAGAGGTATTTAGTGAGAATGATCAAAACATAGGAAGTAACTAATTGATTTTTAAAAATAAAAGATTACATTAATAATTATGATATAACTTCAGGACTAATAATAATTTTCCCATAATTTACGGAGTAATACGGATTACGGAGTAATTCAAAACATAAAAAAAACAAAAACTTACGGAGTAAATAAAAAAGAAAACATACAACTGATACAAGTCTGCAGGGAGAAAAGGGGGTTGCTTTGCGCACCCCCATTTTTACTTTATGTAATCATGGCTTGACAAGATTAACCTTCTAACTTTATTAAATTAAAACTAAACAAAATTGATCTTCTCCTAGAAAACACGGCCTACCCCATATTAATGTTAAATTTATTCTTCATCCAATAACTTGTTGCCATGTGGCAAATAGTTTTTTATTTTATAAAATGTTACTACCTCCGTCCCGTTCAAAGGTTCTCATAGCAAAACGACACGATTATTTAGATAATAATTAAATAAAATACTTCAAATATATTTTGAGAAATAATTTTAATAGGTATATATTATAATGTAGTAATATATAATTTAATAGTATTGATAACTGTGATGTTATAAATCTATTATTTTAAATATTTAATGATTAATTTGTCACTTAAGATTGTTAATAGACATAAGTACACTATAATAGTAAAAAAATTAATGAAGTTATAATTTCTCGAGTTCCAAAGCACAAAAAAACTTTTAAATAATCCCTTTACAAATGATCTGATTTGATATGATCTGTTTAAATTTTTGGTATGTTAAATGTATATTCTACGTTTATTATACGGCTATCAAAATTTGGTCTGATCTAGTCTATTTACGTCTTGTTTCATCTGAACTGGAATTGGAAATAGGCAAATTCAAAACATCCTAAAAAGTGTCAATTATAGTTATTTAATAAGAGAATAAAGACAATATTCAATACAAAGTTGAATGAAAAAGATATATGATCACCTAAATATTATCGAGCATTATATGCGATAAACTTAATGGAACAAATAAAAAATAAAACCCCAGATGCAAATAGTGGGCAAATGAAGTGATGAATATAAATTGAGATAGGTAAATACCTCGTAAGAATGAAAATCAAGAGTACAATTTTCTAAGCAATCTTCAAATTCATTCCCTATTGTATAAAAATAATTGTAAAAACTTGTAAGAGAATTATACTACTCCGCATGTTTTTTTGACCGGAGAGAATTATACTATGTTACACATATTTATAAACTGTGTTGCATTTTGAGTATGATAATTATTTGTTAGAAATAACGTTAGTGTAACACCCCGATTTTTATGAGCTAGTTATATTAATCAATATTAATATTTATTTTAGTCAGTTAAATAAGTTTCTTCTATGACTAATGTGATTTATTGTGTGATCACGTGTTGTTCTGGCAGGTAACGTTGACCGGTAAGCTGTAATAATTTTTAAGTGAAGGAAATAAGTAATGTTTTAAAACTTAATCAGTCTACTTTGAAATAGATAATAATTTTAATGTTGGATTTTTTTAAGAATATTAGGAGCCCAAATCAATCTTAGCCCGATTAAGATTTAATAGAAACATTTTCTAAAACTAAAGCCCTAGAGGTCTCGGTCATAGCATCTAAGATATAGATTTCCACGGAAGGGCTTAAGGGAAAACCCTGGGTCTTGCGTTGTTGTTCGGTCTCTCCATCTAAGTCTTCTTCTCTTCCAACAGTGCCTTAGATCACTTCCTCAAAATTGGTAAGTCTGTGAATTCTTCCTGGTTTAAGTTTAAGTATGCGATCTCTTCCTGGTTTAAGTTTATCTTTTGAATTTTGGTACTTCAGGAGTTAATCGTAGGAGCAGGTCTCAATCAGTGGAATTTTATTCCGTAATAGAGTATAACCCTATCCTTGTTGCTCCCTGTCAACTCAAACGTGTATTCCTCACAAATTTGAGGTATTATGAATCCCTGCTATTGAATTTGAGCTTTGGAAAGTACAAATAAGGACAAACTAGTATTGTTGCAGTTGCTTTGTTAAAGTTCCGGCGGCTGGTTTATACTTCCAATAGCTGCGTTTTTTTATTATAAAAATAAGTAGTCTTCCTTAGCATCTTATGCACTTAGAGCCGTAAGAAGCAATTTAGGAATTCTAGCAGAGCAATATTCTTTACTTTTAAAGACTTGCTAAATTAGAGTAAGTTCTAACTCTACTATATATTTACTTAAAGAGTTTTAAGTGAAGAGCTTATCGAAAGACGTTATCGAGGTGCCACATTTATCTGAGTATTTTGAGTTCAGCTGTTATCAGGTAAGTTCACTACCACCTGTACATGTTTGTTCAACCAATTGAAAGAAAGAAGTCTGATTGATTTTTAGTAGATGATTTTAGACTATTTGCTATTATGTGAGCTTGGTGAATTATTTGTTGAATTATTGCAATTGTTGTATTAAGTTATGTTTATTATCTGGCATAGTCAAGATTATGTCAGTACTTTATTTCAAGATTTTAATGATGTTTTTACCCAAACGTCACTATAAAAAAGAACTAATATTTAAAGTGAAAGATCAGGTGATATGTACTCGGGAACAAGTTCCCCCAGATTATCAGTTTATCAGTTTCAGAGAGTCTGATATGTTTAGTGGGTCGCTCCCCTGAGCTGTCGGATTGGCGCCTTTGAGTACATATTACGGGCCCACAGTTAAAATTAGCCACAAAGAGTTTCACAGAAAGTTATGAGATCCCTTTCAAAAAGTTTTACAGAAAGTTGTTTTTTGAGATCTCTTTCAGAAAATTTTACATAAATGTTTTGAGAGAAAAATTTTGAGATCTCTCTAGTAGTTTTGAGAAATTATTTTAGAAATTATTTTCTTTTGGGATCTCTCTCATAATTGATTCGAGAAGCTATTTGTTAGTTGTTTGTTTAGCGCATGCTTATAGCCTAAAATTATCTATTGATAAATTAGCATAAACTTCTCAGATATTTTTGTGGATCAATAGTGACTCACTAAGCATAAAGCTTATCAGTTTTCTTTCTTCGCATGTACAGATACTAAAGGTAAGGCCAAGGCCTAGGAAGATGATGAGGGAGTGGAACGCGTGCCAAGATGAGTTAACGGGAACGACCTTTGCAACATCTAGCTAGTTATTATTATTACTTTATTTCAGTATTTCAATGTTTACAATAAAGGGATTTTTATTTATTATTTATTTGGGGATTTGAACTTTGAATAAACTCCTGGATCGAGGGGGTTATCACATTTGACGGTGATAACTAGATATTATTGAGTTTTATTTGGAGTTATATTTTAGTTATATTTGAATTCTTATCAGGGTTATTTCTTAAACAAACGGCCGTTATATTGCAGTTTATTTTTAAAAGTAGGATGCTAGTGTAATGTTTCCTTTAACCCTGAGAGGGGTGTTACAGTTAGATACGGAATAAAATTTAATAAAATTTAGGGGTTGATTAGCTTTTTAAATTAAAACCTTAGGATTCAATTTTCAGAAGCAATACGGAGTACAATATAATTATTGCGGGTTGTGCGGCACTGCGGCGAAGAATAGTTTGTTCAAATTTAAAGGAGGACAAACCTGTCCAATAATGGAAAAATGAGGTGGGCTGAGTAAGTTTGTAGGTGCGCCAAGGACGTACGGGGAGAAAAAGAGGCTACGACTGCGTTTCGCGCCCTGCTCCGCGTCGCCGTGCGCCGGCTCCCTGCTCCGCCACTCCACCAGTGGCCCAGTCCGCTGCCTCCTGCATCAGCCAACCTCCGCCTGCCACCCGGGTTGCCCACTGTCTGCCTGCTCAGCCGCTAGCAGGACGCTGATCATGTGACCAACCTGACAGGCGACCGCCACTACCCTAGGTAAGTTATTTATTTATGTTTTATTTTAATGTAATTGTTTTAATTTTTTTAATTTCTAATATATTCATCTAATATTTTGAATTTTTTGTTTTACTAATATGATTTTATAAAACGTGGATGTGTTTTTTTGGTTTTTGAATAGGTGAGTTAATTGTGTGATTTCATTTGTGGAATTGAAATTAGGGATTGTGAATTACCCCATACTGAATTTCTGAACATATTATTGTTTTAATATGAATTACTCCCTCCGATTCCAAAACAAGTTTCACATTTGACTTCACACATATTAAGAAAATAAATTTGACTTTACTGTGGAGTGCACTGTTTGGCACTGTTTGGCACTGTTTGAACACTGTTTGGCACTGTTTGACACTGTTTGACACTGTTTTGATGTAGATAATAAGGAAATGTTTGAAAGTGAAACTTAATTTTGAATCTGTCCGAAAAGGAAAGGTGGAACTTGTTTCAGAAACGGAGGGAATATGTGATTGAAAATAATATATTGATTATTTTATTAACTGTTGTTAATTTAAATAGGTATAGCTACACAATCTACTTCTACAAAGGCAAATAAACATTCAATTCGTTTTTGAAACCTACTACAACTCCATAAAACAAAACAAGAGTTAATGACTTGATTGATACTCCAAATATTTCATCCTTTCAAGAGGAATTTGTTTCTAATGTGATTCAAATTGCGCGGGACCCGGGAAAACGGGAATAAATAAGTCATTGGCCATTAGATACTAATGATTCACTTTTGCACTCCTCAATCTAATTGTCATGGGATTTTAATTGATCAAAAATATTTGCTTTATGTGAGGTTTGAACATCATATTGTGACGTAGTACACAATGTTATTGCGTAATGATTATGATATTTGTTGACTTTTAATGATTATGCTATTATGAGTAGTATTTTTTATTACATTATTTGTATTCTTTTATGTACATTTGTGTAAAAATCTGAGGCTTACGCCTCATTATGCATTAGGCAATGCGCCAATGCCAAGAAACCACGTCAAATGCGCAATAACATTGTGTACTACAAATTATTATTATGAATTTTAATGGATTTTAATCATTATGTTCAAACAGTTCACTTGTTTCATTTGTAAATATTAGGGCTGTTTAGGCGGGAACTTGCAGTATGTGTTATTTTCTTTTTAGGTAAATAAACACTACGTAAATGTTAACCATAAGCCTTAGGGCTATGTTTGAGCTGATGGTATAATATTATACTACATACTCCCTCTGTTCCACTGGACTTTGCCAACTTTCCTTTTTTGTTTATCCCAAAAAACTTTTTCACTTTCCTTTTAAAGCAATGTTTTTGTGGCTCTGTTCATTTCTCTCTCCTCTGCACAAAATTCAACCACACAAATTTTACTATTCTAATTTCACACCTAACATCAACTTGGCAAAGTTGAGTGGGACAGAGGTAATATGTAATTAAAAACAGCTTTAGTGACTAGTGGAGTCATTTGATGAATAATTTGTTGTTCGAATTCCATCAATGAAAAATATTCTTTGGTAATTTAGTTAATTTATGCAAATATAAGTATATTCTTCTTGCATTAATGCTTAGACATTGCCCTTAAGGCTATGTTTAGCATGACCATTATTTCGATATATGTATAGTCCTAAAGATATCAAGTTATTAACAGACTTCATCAATTATAAATGTTACCAGAAATGTTTGTTGGTTGCAGATAGCTTTGCTGCATTACATATTTTGAGTTAATCATCAATATAGGCACTACAAATATGGGAACTCGAAAGTTGATGTGGAGTACAACTAATTACATTTTTACTGGGAGCCTCATTGGCATCACTCTATCAGATCGTTATGTCAGTGTAGTTTCTGTTAAAGGCATTTCTATGTCTCCAACGTTTAATCCTCATGGAGATGGCCCATTGACTAGTAATATACATTCATACTGTACTTTTTTGTCCTCTGCGTATCCCATGTTATGGATTGTTATTCACCATCTTTCACCTCATCTTCTAGGGGACCATGTTTTATTGGAGAAGTTTTGCCTTGAAAAGTACAAGTTTTCTCAAGGTGATGTCGTGGTCTTTAGGTAATTGATCATTACTCAAATTTCACTACATATATGTATCCAGATGTATCTTGTCTGTTCACTTGTGTAGCTACATGATCCCTTGTACAAATCATGCTCATTTCACCAGAGCTTGAATGAATGAACTGAGGATTGAACTTTTTAAGTTGTTATTGTTCGGCTCGGAAAAAAGTCAATGCAAATAAGGAAAAAGAATATGTATTCTGCTTAGTTTTTTATTTAGGAACTTGCTATCACATTTTTTACAAATGGTCTTACATATATGATATATGTGATTGGTTGTTGCAGAAAATTTAGTATGTAGCTTTTAACTTTACACTTCTTTGAATGAAGAAATTATATTAATGAGGTTTTCCTCTTATTTGTAAAGATCTCCTTCTGATCATAAAGAAAAACACATAAAGAGGATAATAAGGCTACCTGGTGACTGGATCAGTACACAACAGGATGATTATAATGATGCAGTGAGGATACCAGACGGGCATTGCTGGGTCGAAGGTGACAATGCAGCTTGGAGCTTTGACTCAAGATCTTATGGCCCTGTAAGTTGCTACATAGCTAGTTTGTGTCAGCTTATGTCCTAACCAATGACTCATGCATAGCATGTGAATTTAATGTATTTTTGGATAGGTAATTTTTGTTGAATAAATACAACATTCTTGTACAGGTCCCATTGGGTTTGATTTGTGGAAGGGTCACACACGTTATCTGGCCACCTCAAAGATTTGGTAGTATACAAAGGGAACTCCCTCAAAGCATTTCATCGTGATTGTTTTTTTTTGTTTTCTTTTCTTTTTTCATTACTATTAATATTGTCATTCTATATAGTTGTTGATTGAAATACTCCAATTTCATTTTGCCATACCAAGAGATACTCGAATTTTGTAATCTGCATGATGATGTGTTTTTTATCCGTATAAATGGTATAATTATAATAACAAGAAATATTTGGGTTTATATACATAGACTTTTTGCCACTTTTAGTCCCCCGACTATTGTGTCAGTGACACTTTTTATACTCGACTTTTAATATTTCTATTTTTAGTCCTCGACTATTGTGAGAGAGACACTTTTGTCATCGATTTCCAAATTTCCCACGTTTAGTCCCTGAGTATTATCAAATCGATATTTTTAGTCCTTCCACTATGATTTTGACACAAGTGAAGGGTTAAAAATGCCACTATTGCAATAGTTGAAGGACCAAAAGTGTCACTTTTACAAAAGTCGAAGAACTAAATATGAAAATTTTCAAAGACGAGTACTAAAAGTGTCTTTTGCACAAAAGTTGATGGACTAAAAGTGAAAAAAATCAAAGTCGGGTGCAAAAAATGTCAGTTACATAATTGTCGGAGGATTAAAAATGGCAAAAACTCTGTACACATCTATCTTTAAAAACTATGGCGAAAAGATACGATACAATCCACCGTAAAAACAAAAAGAAATATAGAAGTACTCATCAATTCCATTTATTTAGGTTAAATGCTATTGATTACTCCTCTACTGCTAAATAATCGACATTCTTTTTAACCCAATCTCAAAATTATTGTTCATTACTTTTTATGAATAGCAACACGCGGTTCACAATGCTTATCTCTTCTGCTACATATATGAATTTCATTAAGGACACCAATATTTATGGGTGTGAGGGAGTAATAATAATAGTGCTCCGTAACAATCTCATTTCATTTAGCAATACCGTTACTCCGTATATAATAATCACCGATAAAATTGTCACATTTTACCTTTTCGAGAAATTTTAATAAGATTGTCTCATATCAAATTTGGTAAATTTTTGATGGCTCAAAATCATTTTTACCTTTCTTACTTTATCAATTTAATATCAACCATGCAAACTCACTTTTCTTAATAATCGTGTCACCTCCCAATCTTAGCAGGACAGAGTCACAGAGGTAGTATTTTTTAGGCTGAAGTTATAGATTTGATACTAGTTGAAATAGTCTTTCTTTTTTAAAAGGGGTGTTAATGTTCTTTGCGCCAGCTTGAGTGGCCATATACTTTTCTCAAGTCAAGCTTCCAGCAAGAACAACTCCTCGAAGAGGAATGATTCGAATTTGACAACCCAAGTCAAAACTCATTCCTACGTACTACTCAATTTCCACAGTCCAACTAACTGGTGAATTATTCTTTGATCTTCAACATGGCCCTACCCGTGAGCTGAGGCTGCTGAGACTATTACAAATATACAAAATCCGCAAAGGGCTGCAAAAAATTTCGACCGATAAATTATTTTTCGTTTTCTTTTCTTGCCCCCCCAAATTGAATGCAGTGGAGTAATTTTAACAGTGAGTTTTTTTTCTTTTCTTTTCTACACCTGAATTGCAAAATTGTGGCCATGGTTTTTCCTTTTGTATATATTTAAAATACGGAATATAGTACACTAATCATCAGAAGTGGTAACCCCAGAGAGCCTCGGCACCTTCGCCGCACTTGTCATGGACATGCTTTATTCTATCCACTGATTTGCAGATTCCACTGCAAGACCAATCGAAAGACGCAACACATGCATTCCCTGCTTGAAGTTTCCATTCACATTCTGCAACATACAAAACTTTTGTGTTTTTCAAAGTTCCCTCACTTGTGTGGCTTAACGAAAGGAAACGGTAATGTTGTATTGGAGGAAGAGAAGATGAACAATTGATAAAACCTGGCGGGGTTCCACAACACAAATTTCGATCATCAATGTGCTCAACGTCAAGACCAATCAGCCATGCGCCAAGTGATACATCTTCATTGGCATACTTATGTAGAATTTGCCTGAAATTGGTCACTACATTATATATGTCTGCCAGAAACTACAGATAAAATTTGAAAGGGTTAACAACTCTAGTTCATCTATTACGGGAAGCAAAAAATCAAGTCATTATTACCCATTGTCAGTTATGAACTTCGCCAAATCTTTTGAGATAGCATATATCTGTCCGGTTGCATGTCTGAAGTACTTGTTTCCCATATCTCCAAATCTCCAATACTCAGGTTCATGGTACTTCACATTCCTTGCACCACAAACGTAAACACCAACAACAAGAGTTATATGACAATCATAAAGCTCAAAAGAGAATCCACCACAAGTATTAAAAAGAGAAAAACAAACTTGAAGCGTATAGTTTAAGACTAACGTACTTGCTGTAAAGAACTGGTCCAGATTTCATACAGCCAATATATACTCTGGGTTTGAGGCGGTGCCGGGAAAGAGTTGAAGCAAGTGTACCTTTATATGATAATTAGTATATAAATAAGTCCATTATAAATTACCAAAAAACTGCAGCTGAATTATTATTAGCAATGCCACATTGGTGTAACATAAAAAAAGTAAAGAATTAATATACCTGATTTAGACCATCGACTGTACACTTTTTTTCAATGTGGTCCTCAAGTATGCAATTTAACTCAAGTTACTTCACACGTACATTCTAATCCGGGGGGGGGGGGGGGGGGGGGGGGCTAAATTGTGTTCAAATGATATAGTTGAGGACTAAATTGATTCTGGAAAGTAGATCTAGGTTTAGAATGGAAAAAATATCCTTCTTATGTAGAACCAAACATTTTGAAAATGTCATGGTTGAGGACTAAGTTGAGGATCAAGTGTATAGTTGAGATATTACATCATGCATTAACTTAAAAGAAAGAGAAAAAAGAAACTACCCAAGTTGACATGAACGTCGTCATCAATCTTGACATAGAAATCAGCATCCCATCTTGCAAAGGCAGTGGAAATGAAAGACTTCGTCTTTGCAGTCAACTCATGATATCCTTCTATGTGCTCCTAAACAATGCCATATGAGAAACAAATGCAAGGTGACTAGAATAAAATAATATGACAAGTCTTGTTTGATTTTCAGGATTTTCAGCTGCTTTTTCTTTGAACTAGAGTTTGAAGCAAATCACCGAAACCCAAATTAACGAAGCCAAATATAAAAGAAACATTGGAGATTAAACTTACAAGCCTAAGAATGTCTTTATGTTGAGCATCTTCCAGATCAACTGCTTGATCTAATACGCTATTGGATGTTGCACTGAATCAGGAAGTAAGGCTATTAATAATAATAATAATAATATCATAACAGTCTAACACACCCATTTTCACCAATTACAAAGTAGCCTTGAAGCTGAAGTTCATATAAAACATCAGATTAAATTATTACCTGTGGCCTATCATAAAGCGCACAACAATTCCCTTTTCTTCTTCCAATTTAATCAGCTTCTCACCTAGTAAGTTTTAAAAATAATTAAGAAAAACAAGGTCAGGGATAAAAAGGGCGGTGAAATAATTAGTCACATGAGATTTAGGTTCCGTTTGATTTTGGTAGTGGTAGACTCATCTGGCTTATTCTGCATGTCAACAGAATAAGTAGAATTGCAGAGTTGCAGACTAACTTATTTATATAAAATGGATGTTACCAAAAGTTGTGTTTTTGAAAAACTGCATACTCTCACCCATTTCAGCAAAACCCACACATACCAAACGGGCCATAAATCACAGGAAGTCATTTACAATGAGCACCTTGAGGAAGCCATGTCTGTCTAACAGAATCACGCCTCTTTCTGCTACTGAAGGCTGTGTTTATCCCGATAACCATAAAAGCTTTCTTCCTTGTCCCGATTTTCTCCGTCGTCTCCTCGCCCTCAGAACTCTTGGACAATGACAGCTCAACTTGAGCTTTGGAAAATGGAATTTCGGAGCTTCTAATAAATCATAAAACATCAACAATAGTAAACTTCAACAAAACAAACAAGTTCATAATTGAAGTGCATTGCTTAATTGAAAAATAATTAATACACATCATATCATCAATTGCATATTCAAATATTCAATTTTTTTGAAACAAGAGAACAGCAACTACTGATGATATCACATTCATTAGTGAATTAGTCATGAATGGTGGTGATAAAGAGATCAACACTCACTGGTTGGTTTCCTGGACTTCGCTCAAGTCAGTAATTACTTTCTCGTTGTCCTGAATGAAATAGGAAACTTAGAAATTAAATGGAAACGATCACCACAGGCCCAAAGCAAAATAAGAAAAAGAAAAAAATTAACAATCAAAGTCAGAAGAAGGGATTCCGGGTCGGACCTGATCAACCTTGGTGCCGCAATCGTCTAGTTTTTCTTGTTTAATGCGGCGGCCGAACATCATCCGGCCATCATCCATTTCAAGAGGAGCCCATACTCTAAAACGGATTTTTGCATATAATAATAAAATAAAAGTTTGCAACTTTTTGCTTGGGGTATTGAATTGAATAATAAATAATTGATAATCAGAAAAGTGAAAACAAACTTGCTGGAAAAGAGCATGCCAAAGGCGAAACTGAGAACGGAGAAGACGAAGATCCATTTGGGGGAAACTCTGCCGCTTCTGCTGCTTCGGGTCTTCATATTTTATTCTAATTGTTTCTGTATTTGGAGGCAGTGCGCGGGAAATTCTTCCTCTCTCCCTCTCTCTCAGCACATTTATTATTTCTTCATCATAAAATCTGGTCTGAGATTTGTAAGCTCTGAGGGAGAAACATATGTGTGATTGAATAAAAAGAATTGAATAGGAAAGCATATTTATGAAGGAGAGAAGTTTGTTTCAATTCCCGTCTTCCAAATCTTCCAACTTTCAACCCCTCCATTACGGCTGGTCAGATGGTGATGCCACCTTTTATTTTCCCAGTTTCATTTTATGTTTTCAGCCGTTTTCAAGAAAATAAAGGTAAGTGCAAATCTTTTCCATCTACACCCTACATGTATTTATTACTTCTATCCCTCACTAACTTTCTTGATTTAATTATGATCCCAAATTTCCACCAAAGCTATCATTTTTTATTTTGATACGATTTTTTTTATTACTTTATATGTCTATCAAAGTTGATCAAAATTTTATGAAATTTATGTCGAAATTTTATGACACGTACGTAGGATGTTTTCTTTTGGGTCCAAATTTGTTGGTCTCATTTGATTTGATTTAATTTGATAG